CACTACAGGTAAAGTCAATTTTTATTTTAAAAACAAAAGCTTTTTTTTCATTTATTTAGGTTGGTAAAATACCTAATGAACTTGAAGCATTACAAACGCAATTAGACGAAAGTGCAAAACAAACAGCAGCTATGCTAGTTGATATTGAAATTTAACCACATCAAACTGGTGAAACATGTAAAGTTGTTGTTGCTGAAGAAGCTATTGTTAATTGCAAAAGCTATTGATGCTATTAAAAAGTTCAAGTAATATTTTCTTTTTAAATATCTTAATTAAAGTTTATTCTAATTATTATTTAAAAGGAAATATATGAACATGACCTTCAACGCAATAATCACCAAGTAGCGAAAGAAATTGTACCAAAAAAATAAGTCAAACTTGAAGAAGTTGGTAGAGGAGTAGAAGAACTTGAAACAATATTAGCACAAAAAATGTGCACAACTAGCACAAATCGAATAGACTATTTGACTAACTAAGATGCAAAATATATATTATTTTTTATTTATTAGACACCGTTTAGGTAAACTTCAAGATGATCTTGATTCAGCACAAAAACATAAAGCACAATTAGAATTTGCAGTTGATCTTTGTACCCAAAAAAATTATTTCGAGCCCAAAAATTAATAGATGATCTAGATGGTGAAAAAACACATTGGACAATAATAGCAGAAAATTTACAAAAGATTTATGATAATTTACTTGATGATGTTTTAGTTTCATCAGGTATTATTGGTTATTTAGATCCATTGACTAGTTCATTGCATTATGAAGCTATTCAGTAAATAATATTTTCTTTTTCTTTCTAAGAATCGATAAGTTTTATATCATTTCTTGATAAAAGTTTTAATGATTTCAGAATAAAACTATGTAGGATCAAGTTGAATTTTATATTCTAGTAAAAATTTTGATCTGTGAGCAGTCATTCTATTCCACAATGTCGAATATTATGGAATCAATTCTGAGAAATTTTGAAAATTTGATCAACATTCAAAATCAGAGCTCCAAATGACACTGATCGAGTTCTAACAATTCTCGGAGTTCTAGAAATTGGATCAACATAAAATTTCTAGTGATTCCTAGAAATTCAATCTCCATCTAACTCCGAGATTTGCTGTAACTCGATTGATCGAATTCTCCGACTTCCATAAAACTAATTCCGTAATGTTCAACATCACGGAATAGGATGTATTCTCTGATCTCTGCATATAACTTCTTTTTTATTTAGTGGCTGGATTGGTGTATATAAAAAGTAGAAATTATCATATTCCGATGCTGAAGAGTATTCATTAGCTGTAACACTCGATGAACCAATTAAAATTCAAGTAAAAATATGTTTTCATTTGATTTTCATTGAATTGTTTTTGTTTTATATTTGATTTAGTAATGCAGTTATAATTCAAAATTCAAATCGTTAGCCATTATAATGATTGATCCACAAAATCAAATTAATCGTTAGATAAAAAAAATCTCATGCTCAACAAAATTTAAAAATTGTTAAATTAACGGATAATGATTTTTATACGTTTATTACAACGAAATTGGGAAATCCACATTATTTACCAGATTTAATTGAGATTTTTCTATTATTAAAATTTATTTTAATGGTTCCTTTGTACAGAGATTTCTAGAAAAGTTACATTCCTTAATTTTATGATTACATCTGAAAGTTTTCAAAATCAATTATTTGATATTTAAATAGAAATTCTTTTTAAGATAGTAAATCTTATTATATTAATTTTTATGATCTTAAATATTGTTGTTGCTAAAGAACGATCATAATTAGAAGAAGAACATCAAATATTGGTTATAACTCAAGGTGAAAATCAACATTTGTTAAAAGAAGCTGAAGATAAAAATTTATTTACACTTAATTTATCAGAAAGAAATATTCTCGAAGTTGAAGCTGCTATTGAAACGTTTGATTCATCGAAATTAATTTAGGGTGAATTATCAAAGAAAAGCAAAAAATTGCTGAAGTAACAACATAAAGAAAATCAAAGCATCTAGAGAAGATTATAAACCAATTGCAAAATATTCAGCTATTCTGTTCTTCTGTCTTAGTGATTTACCAAATACTGATCCTAGTAAGAATTTATTTCAATTAAAATCGATCTTATATATATATATTATAATCAGCATTTGTCATCTAAAAACTTTATCTGCAACTTAGTAGATTAACGTTTAGACTTTTTTTCGCTATACTATACAGTTAACCAATAAAGATTTTCTGTATTGAATACATTCATTTGCAATAGTTCCAATCAAATCCAGGAGTTTACTTTAGCGGACAAAGATTTAGGCTGAGCAAGTGTCGTGATCGAAAACTAGACATTACATTTATAGAATTTTTCGTTATCCGAATTCAATTTTTGCGAAATTTCTTAACAATGGTTCGTAGATTTTCACAAATATTAGCTGTTCAGAAATTTCTTTGAAAGATAAAACAACAAAAAAAAAGAAATAAAGGTGATAATATATACATGATCAAATCGATACTGAGATGCTATATTATCAAATTTTTTGGCGATTCTTTATCTTTCTTTCTATCCAAGAATGAGAAATCTGCAGAGTTCATACAACTGACGTGATCATATATAAATCGAAATCCTTAAACTTTTCTTAAATATTTCGTGTTATAAAAGACTAGTTTATCCATTCTTGTATCGAATAATTCTAAAATAATAAGATTATTCTTTTTATTCTATCGATATTCATTGCAATAGTTTATTAATCTACATATCAATTCAATTAATGACAGATTTTTTATCGTTTTTAAACTCTTTTTCATTGATTATAATTTAAAATTCCAGTCTAAAATCAAAATTCTTGCACGTCGTTTAAAAAATCTTCAAAAACATTTTACTCAGTGTTTTATCCAGGTTTTTTGCTCCGGGAGGGCAAAATTAGTTGTCGAGGGAGCAGACATAGGTTTGTAAGCAAGTAGCTAAAATGAATGTTGTCGAGTCGTAATATGTACATTTTCAACAGATCGCGTTCTTTAAGTTATAAAATGCACAACTCCATTATTTCATTTAATTGAAGAATATGTATAACATGTACAACGAATAAATAGCAATAAATACACCAAAAGAAAAGGTAGAAAATTATAAAAACAATGTGAAAAGTCATATCGTATAACTCAAACAGCTAATCGACGCGGTTTTAGTTTTTTCCAGTCGCACGAGTTATTTGCAATAGTGTTTGATTGAGTAATGATATTTTGATTTTCAATACGACTCCTTTTTGCTAACTTATCAACATCATTATTTTCTTTTGTTTTTCCAAAATATTTATTGAGAGAACTTTGTTTTGACATTCTCAAGATGAGTTTATAATCGCTATTTGATTTGAAAGAGGAGATGGAAAAGAAAAGTACAAAAATACGATACTATAGTGTGAATGAATAAATGAAAAAAAGATATATAGGTGTGTTCTCATTTGAAACATTTCTGATCTTTTGAAGTCAATCAATGTAATATAGACCTAACAAATTCAGCTAAACATTCATATTAGATTAATTTAATGCGTATAGTACACAATGTTATGTTGTTTAATTCGTAATTAAATTACATACATTCGCTTATTTACAAGTACAGTATTATTCATTCAATAGAAACTATCCTATGCGACGTTATCTTCATATGAATGCTGAAAAGGAAGAGAAGAAAAATGCATATTCTCATCATATTATGAGCAATGATGCGATAAGAAACATTTTCAATCAAATTGAAAATCATAGGAAGCAATAGATATGTTATATTCAAAAACTATTATAAATCTTTCCTGTCAACAGTTTTATATTTAGTCACAATATCTCCTAGAATTTTCATAAGAAATTCTTAAGGATTAGATTGATATTTTTTAACACTTGTTTATTTTTTCTCGGGGGGGCAAAACCGGTTCCCGGGGGGGCAAAATGTCCCAAAACCCCCCACTAGATAAAACACTGATTTTACTTATAATTTATATAAAAATATTTGTTGATCATTATTCAATTATTAATTTTAATTGAAACATTAAAAATTTTAGTGCTTGAAAAAACAATAGATAAAGTGGAATATCTCTTCTTTTAAACAGGTGATATCAATTTTAAAAAAATAAACATAAAAATCAAGATCAAGTTGACTTTCGGATAAATCTCGGAATAAATTATGTCATTTACCTGATTTATCAAAACTTGCCAGACTTTGATAAGACAAAATTTCAAAGACAAAAAAGAAATACCAAATTTTTATTTTATTTTAGTAGAAGTTTTGAATTAAATCTTGAAGTATTAAAAATCAATATATGATGCAAAAGATCTAATGACCATTGAATTATTTGCACCATGAAATAAAAAAATTAGATTAATTTCAAAAAATGACTGTTGTTCGTATTATACGTTCTGATAAAGTTGTATCAATGGTTATTGAATTTGTTGAACCACCAACAAATCTTCAAATCAATAGGTTACATTCATATTGAAATGCACCAATATATGAACCAACATTTTTTAATAAAATTGATGAAGAAAAAATGTTCTATGAAAAAGACTATTATTTGATCTTTGTTTTTTTTTCATACATTTATACAAGACAGAAGAAAATTTGAGTAAAAAAAAATTCGTTATTTATTGAAAATTAATTATCAAAATAAAATTTTAGATTACAAGGATTTAATCAATCAGATCCTTTTATTTCTGTTTGACAACTTCAAGTATATTTTTATTGTTATAGATGAATAATGTATTATTTTAAAATCTATTTTAGATGTTTATTAATGAATATACTGAAATTTCATACGTGAATATTTTGTTGATAAAGACAAATATATTTCTCTATGATGATACGAATTCCTCTCATAGATATCAATACTCTGAAAAGAGTTCAGACCTTTGGCTTGTTGTTACTGAGATACTGTATTTTTTAATACAATACCCTGCTCCCCCTCATAGAAACATTAGGAAAACTGATTTTCAAATTTTGACTTGAAACTTTGCATAGAGATAGGCCTTAATAAGAATAGGTTATTATGAAAATTTTAGATTTTTTCTTTGTTTCTATCTTAAGATACGGCTATAGAAAATGTGTGTTTCTTACATCACTCATATACACATCGATCGATTCGATGTTCTTTAATGATAGGAACAAATCAAAAGGCCTAAGAATTTCACGATAAACTATTCTCGTTAAGATTTGTCTATGACTATCGATCCAAACTCTTTTCAAACTAATGATAACTCATTAGGTTCTACATGATGTACATAGTTTCCACTCTAGAAGTAATGAATTAGTTGGGGAACTTGTCGCTTTTAATGAAAAAATCATATCAAACGATTTTACGTTTAATAAATCTGTTTTTTCTTTTCGTTCAGAATGTTAGTCGTTATATGGCTGGTGAATGTAACTATGGAGACTAATAAGTTTCTTTTTCTATTCAAAATCTCTTTATCTTTGTTTTTTTTTTCGTTTTTTAACAGTAACTAATGATTGGGATCGTCAATGTTTATGTGTTATTCTTAAAGACTTTTACAATCTACAAGTAGCTGAAATTGTTAAACATAAATTATCATCAAGCAGTTTTTATTATGTATTGGCAAAATGTACTGATGAAGAATATATTGAATTTATTTAAAAATTTACCATTAACTCAAGAATCTTGAAGTCCTTGATATTAATAAAAATGTTGATATATCAAAAGATTTACAAGCGAAAAAAAGACTTTCATTTAATTCAATTCTTTTAACAATAGGTTCGACAACAACAGAAGGTGATGATACAAATAAAAAAAATAAAACGATATTGCTTGTGTTTTTTACTATTTAGTTACCAAATTTTGAAAATAAAAATACAACATCAATCGATTTGTTAGCGTTTGAATTTCAGATATAAAACTATTTTCTTTCTTGTATATTGATTTATTTTTATTTTTTGTTCAGGTTTTGAAAGTCACTAAAAGGGAAACAGCTCCAAATGACAGTGCATATATCAGTAGTCTCTTCTTTGATGATGCAAGATGGAATCAAGATACATAATTTTATATAATCCTAAACAGATACAAAAAAAAAGTTAATAATAGGTACGACGAGTGGTCGAAGCTTAAAGATATATTTTTTTCTGTTCTTTTCGAATATCGAGTTCTCGAACACATTTCCACTATTTGAAATCCATTGAAATTGTGACTACTCGAAGGAAGAGATTTCCTCGAGAAGATACTTTCGATTGTTTGATATAATTCCAATTACTTGAAACTCATCGAAATATCGAATGCTTGACAAGAGTAAACCTATCGAACAAATAGTGTCGATTGTTCATTTTTCTGTTGATCGATGAAAACTTTACCATTCAGTTTTCGAATAGATTTTCATTGCTATTCCATTGTTTTATGGGAGAATATTTTGTTTTATTAGATGATTTTATGTAGTTTCATGATTTAAACAAAATTATTCATTAATTCCAACTAAAACCATAACAGAAGAAATATGTGTGTGTGCATTTATGGTGAAAAAGTAATTATAATAGAGTCTTAGTTTTTTTTAAATTAAAAGAGAGCAGTTAATGAGATTTATCATTGTTCTAGTTTCACTATTTCGTTCATTATTTTTTTTTAATATTCACATTAATTATAATATAATTTGCGTTAAAGAATAAACCTTCTATTTATACAACGAAATCTATAACGAATAGAATCGTTTTCGTCAAATATTGACAATAAGAAAAACACATACATCAGCAAATTTTGTTTTTTTGTTTTTGAAAAAAATTATTCAAAATTATATTTAAAGAAAATTGAGAAAAAAAAAAGTTGAAGTTATATATATATATTTCATGAGGACACGTGGATTTATCTAAGATTATAACGTCATGTTTAGTTTATCTGATCGATAAAAACTTCTTAATCGTAAGTACATATGTGCGAATCTTCTATTCTGCAAAAATATTCGTTAAGTATCGAAAGGTCAGAAAGAATAGGATACAGAAAACGAAAACTTTTTGAAAATTTGTAAAAACTTCGATTGCTCAGAATATCGACTACTTGAAGTCTTGCTAATTTGACTTATCGAAATTCACCGATGATGGGTACGTCAATGACATCGAATTTCTAGATCGACCCTTCGAAGTGTTACTTTCAGATAGATCAACTGGTCCGTGATGGGTAAACAATTTTCAATTTTATCAATCTATCGGAAGGTTCAACTCGACATATCGAAATACTCATCGAGTAATAGCTAGAGATTCTTTATTTATTTATTTTTTTCTTTTATCTAAAGATTTACTTGATGAACAATTTTCAAAAATTCTGTACTAATTATTTGGATAAAACCAATTAAAACAAATGAATTAAATACCGATGGAACGTATGAATGTTCAGTATATAAAACAAGTGAATGACGTGATGTACTTTCAACAACGAGTCATTCAACAAATTTTGTTATGCTTGTTTATTTATCAACAAATCAATTAAAATAACGTTAAATAAAATATGGTGTTGCATTACTTTGCCAACTTCATGATTAAGAGAAAAAAACACCTAAATTAAATTCACTTTTTTTATCCTTATATACATTAATATCAATTTTCTCTATCTCGATCTCTTTCAAAGAAAAGGGAGGAATGCATTGTATTTTGTCACTATTATCATAGAATTAATCAAACAGTAATAAAAGACAAAACGAAGAATTAATAATGATTTTAGTGTTTGTCGTTTTTGATTTAATTGCTTCTAAAGTTGGTTGTCGTTTTGATTGAAAACGATTTTGTACTTGTCGTAATTCAATTTCGAGTATTTCATCAAGTAATACTAAGTGTTATTCGATTTGTTTCAGCAGACAATTGTTCAATTGTCTAAAGCGAAATAAAACAAACAAATAGATATAAATTTTAATATTGAATAAGTAATCCATACTTGTTGAAAATTATCACCATTTTTATTACACATACATACTTTTTGAACGATTAATTTCATAAATTCTTCTTTATTTTTATCAGCTGTTGTTCGTTTCGATCTTAAATTTGAATTTGAACATGGAAATTTTATATTAGATGGTGATGTTTATTCGTAATCTAAGAAACTAATTCAATGGAGAATATATGGGATCTTGAATTTCATACGAACGATACTGTTAAAATTAGTGTCCATCAAGTCCTAATGTCAGGATTTTCATGGGAATCTAGACTTACAGTCTCAATAAAGTCTGTAGGATTCAGAGTTAGAGTGGACTCGATGATTTCCATGTTGATATTGATAATAGAGTACAACATACTTTTATTTCTATTTTGTTAAGTAAATTAAATTTATTCAATGTATTGAATGTTGCCTCACATCTGAATCCTTCTAGGATTGACTTGATGGATTCTAGTCGAGACTAGTTTTAGAGCTTTGGCCATCCAAATCAGCAATTTCAAGAGAAAATAAAACGATTAAATCTATATTATGAAAATAGTGATAGAAACACTTAACGAATATCATACACTATAAATGATCGATTAGGACAAATTTCTCGAAAGCAAAAATATAAATAAAAAATTCAAAATTTTATTTTTTCTGAATCTACCTTACATGTATCTTGTTGACTATTGGCGTCATTTTCTGTTTTCAGTTTTATTTTGATTAATAATCATCTGATATGATGATTCTAATGATAATTCACTCATTGTATAACAACTACATAATTGAAATGTATCTGTTTCTGTATCTTGTCGATTAGTATTGTAGATTTATTATGTTCTTGAATTTCTCGAACTTTATCAAACATTTGTCGTAAAACATTGATATCTTTAGCATTACGAATCAATTGATGCTAATAGAAAACGAAAAAAAAAA